CCATTACTTGCATCTGAAGAAGTGAGGTTCTTACCCACGAAAGCTTATGCTCCCTATACTTCTGTTAGTCTCAAAGGTGCCACAGGACCCTCTGTTGCTTTTTTACAGATTCAGACTAACACGGCTACCCCTCTGATACACAGCAGGCAGTCTCCCTGCTATTTTCTCCAGTCAGAGTTTTATCTTTTAACTTAAATAGGTTCTTGCGTCATCTGAATGCAAAATATATTTTAAACAATTAAAAAAAAAATCAGACTTTTAAGATGGGATATAACCACCTGCTACTTTATATAATAAATAAGGATACGATTCTGTCATAGAGGTCACGGATTCCATGACTTTCTGGGACCTCCGCGACTTCTTCTGAAGGGGCAGGGCTGGAGCAGCTGTCAGCCGCAAAGCCACCGGAGCAACGGCCAGCCCTGGGGCCACTGGAGCAGGGGCCACAATAGCAATGGCCAGCAGTTAGCCCTGGAGCCACAGGAGCAGAGGCCGCCATAGCAACGGGCCACATAGCAACAGCCAGCAGTCAACCCCAGGGCCGCCAGAGCAGGGGCCACCATTGGGTCAGCCCCCCTGAGGCTGGAGCTGCAGCAGTCAGCCCCTGCCACAGGAGCAGCAGTGGGGATGGTGCAGCTGCAGGAGCTCAGCGCCCAACAGCGCTCCAACTGTTAGTCGTCTCCCCCCCCCACCAGGGAGAGGTCCTGGGCTTCTGTGAATTTTTGTTTATCGCCCACAAACTGTCCCTGACTTTTACTAAAAATCCCCGTAACAGAATCTTAACCTTAATACTAAAGGTTCAGTCACTGAACTCTGTACACAAGCATACACACTTCACCTATCTAGAAAGTGTGATGGATAAAAGATTAAATGTATTCATTTAAAAAAATCTGTGAAGTAGTCACAAGTATTAAACCTCAGCATCCCTGCCAAATATTTTGGTTTTACAACCACATTGTCCTAAGTGTTTCTCTCTCCCCTGTTGCTATCTGATGGACCTACACAAACAGAGGAAACTGATTGACTATACAGAGTAAGCGTGAAACTGACTGAACCCAAAGGGTATGTCTACACAGCGACTGGACACCCGTGGCTGACCCGTACCAGTCGACTCGGGCAAGCAGGGCTATTTCAATGCAGTGTAGACTTATGGGCTCAGGTTACAGCCCAAGCTCTGGGACCTTCCCACCCCACAGGGTCCTAGAGCCCAGGCTCCAGCCCAAGCCTTCAAGTCTACACAGCAATGAAACAGCCCTGCAGCCTGACCCCCTGAGCAAAAGTCGGCTGGCACGGGCCAGCCCTGGGTGTCTAGTTGCTGTATAGACATACCCTATGCGAACAAACCAGAAACAACTTTTCCTCTTCTTCTTTCAATAGTAGTAATTTTAGGTGTTCCTTCTAAAAGCAGTAGGGAAAACATTTTCAGATGGAAGTGACTCATCCTTCTGCACTATAGTGGACAGGGATTCTTCAAGAATTGAGAGTTATGTAGAACATGTTTTATTAATTTAGATGGAATACCCCTGTATAAAACCAGTCATTGTCCAACATTGAACAGTGTTAAACAAATCTTGGGGTTTGGTATACAGAGACCTCAGTCCGCTTAGTACCATGGTGCAAACACCTTTAAAACACATTATCTTTTTATTAAAGATAAAAAGGAAAAACAGTTAAAGCATTTGAAATATTAAGTATTAAATAAGGCTTTCATTTTAACAACAACAATCCCTTTTCCCTTTCCTTTTAGCTGGAGAGAGTTTTTGGGAAAAATACCAAGTTGTCTCTTATATGGTACCAAAGATGGTAAAAACTGTCCTGTCAGGGAAAATAGAAGACGTTAGTTAAGAATGGCTGAAGCTGTTGGTGAAGTCTATTTCATCCCAAATGGTGTTTGGGATTCAGCTGAACCCAGTAAAGGTGGACATATCATCTGGGTCCCTCTCTCTGGCCTGGTCTGGTCAGGACATCTCTCAGGATCAGGATGACAAAGGTCCGAAGTCCCAGGAGATGGTGGTAGTGGTAGCCAAGATGGTGAACCTCACTCTAGTAGGCAATTTTTATCCCTATGTCTGTTTCTTTAAGGACTCACAAAAGGATGGGTGCACTGAATAGCCCATGCCCTCATTATTTTGTCAACCAATTAGGTCTAGTTTCCCCACACACCAATTTTGGTTCACTGATTTCCGGTTCCACACTCTTCTGACTTACCAAGCATGATCTTAACACAGTCCTTGAGTTATAACAGTACAGTTTTTTGTTTGGACTAATTCAGTCTCTCCTTTGTGCACCATTTCCTATCAATCTTTGTTATAACAGGTGATTGTGACATGTTATTAATTTTCACGTATTTTTTTACAGTTGAGCTCACAAGAAGGGTAAATTTGTAGGCCAAATTATAACAGACCAGATACAGGCCAGGAAACTTGAAGTTTTGAACAGTTTGGTGACAATTCTATTTCCTCTAGACCAGGGGTCCCCAAACTTTTCAAAATCACGCCTCTCCCTTACCTGTCTGCACCTTGCTCCTGCAGGAGCTGGGGCCAGGAGCGGGGTTGTGGCTGGGTCAGGGGGTGGGGCGGACAGGGGCACGAACAGGGGTAAGGAGGCCAAGGCTGGGGCTGCAGCTGCGGGCAGGTCTGGGGCTGGGAACAGAGCCATGGTCAGGTGCCAAGGCTGGAGGCGGGGCCAAAGACGCAGCCAGGGGCCAAGGCTGGGGGTGGGAGTAGGGCCAGGAGCAGAAGCTCCAGTTGGGTCATGGTCAAGGGCCAAGGCTGGGGGCAGGGCTGAGGGCGGAAGCCTGGGCCGGAGCGGGGCTAGATAACACTCCCTTCCCACCCCCATGGGGGCTGGCCCAGGCCCTGCAGCACCTCCCCAAATGTTCCTTCATGCCCCCGTAGGAGGGCATGCCCCACCATTTGGAGACCTCTGCTCTAGACTAAAAACTTTTCAACTTTTTCTTTTTGCCAGAAATTTCAGTAAATGAAGAAAAAAAAGTGCATTAGCAAACATTGCTAGTCAGGCTCCTGAAGTAATGACAGTATTTTTGTAACTCTCATTGACTCAGACTTTTGCTTTGGCAAATTGAAATGGATTGGTTGCTCTATCAGTGAGTAATAGGCATTTTGTTTCTGTATCTGTCACTTGGGAATAGAAATTAAGAGTCTTTAAAACATGTTTCTTTTATGTAATACAAAGTGGCTTGAAAGCAAAGATTACTTTTTTTTCTTTTTCTTCCACTCTCTCTCTCTCCACAGCCCCATTTTAAAAGGCAATAGTCTCTCAAACATCTGTAGCCTGCCAGTTCACACAAATAGAGGGCAGAAGACTGGAGGAATGATGGAATGGGAAAACAGACAATGACAACAGTATTTAGGGTGACCATATTTCCCATGGGAAAACGGGATACTGCACAGGGCTGGCTCAAGGCCCCCCCTTCTCCCTGTGGCGTAGGGCTAACAGCCTGAGGCCCAGCGGTGTCATCATTCACCTCCCTCAAAGTTCTTCCACACTCCATTGGGAAGGAGGGAGGAACCCCTCACTTTTTTGGCAAACTGGGCATTTGTCCCATTTGGTCTTGCCAACTGATAAATTGGCCAAAGTAAATGGAACAAATGACCACTTTCGCCAAGAAAGTCAGGACATCCTGGACAAGGCTTAAAAAGGGAACTGTCCCGGCCAAAACGGGACGTATGTTCACCCTACTTGTGTTTGTTGTCTTGTCAGTCAAAACAGAAGCTGTAATTGTAAAATAAAAAATCTGTGAACATGGCAGGATGCATCAATATCAGGCTGTACTGATGGCTGAATCCAGTGAAGATGGGACCATGTATGATGGCTAGTCTTCTTCCAGAGCTATTACAGGATTCTGCGATTTACTGTGGACAAGTTTTAAGTGATTAGGTACCATGATTTTCTTATGCCTCAGTCCCCCCAGCTGGTAGGGAATGGAGTGAACAGCAGTGATGATAATATGGCTATGAAGAGAAAGTGGAAACTAACATTTCACTCATAGAAGCTGCCCAAATGAGGGATGGGGAACAAGCTGCAATGGATACCAGATGCTTTTCTTTCTGGGTAGGGTTGGGTGGAGGACACTATATACATCAATATTTTTTTCAAACCAGGACATCACAACTAGCATGCAATGGCAATTATAGCAGAGAAAAGGACTGACAACAGGAAGTACAGTCACTGACTTATTTTAGGAACATTTCAAACTGTTTTCCAACTCATTTTCTGAAAATCACTCTCTAAAGCCCATTTTTATAAAATTTATCTTCAAAAAAAAACAAACACCACCAGCGGTTTCAAGTGAAGTCCTGTAATAAAATAATTTCCCAAGCCAGAAGCGTAATTTCTGATAGCTTTTAAGCAAGTTAATCTCAGTCTGAAAGCTTTAGGAATCTAAATAACTTTCTCATTTCACAGAAGTTTCATTTCATTCTCCCTCATACTGAAAATATACATAAACCACGTTCATGTCTACGCATTTGAGCGACTTTATAATAAAAACTCTGTTTATATTCTTAACATCTGTTGACATACATAGTCTTTGTAAACCTGGCATAGATTTTAAAGCCACAGAATTTTCCATGCATCATGCACATTATCTGTGGGAAGCAATAAAGAAACAATGAATACATTAATCATACTCATATCATCTGCAAAACATAAATCTGAAATACCTTTCATGTCAGTTCAACTGCTCAGGTTTGGATTTGGATTTGGTTTTTTTTTTTTTTCCTTTACACACCTGATTTTATGCCATCTGTAAAAGGGCAGGATGGAGATCATAGAGGAAATTGTATTTCTTGGCTGTCTGACTTTTACTAAATATTCACACTAAGTTCTGTAAACAGAAGATTTATTAAATAAAAAGTTACACCTAAAAGTCCATGTTTATTAAAGGACAGCATATTGACTGCAAAACTCTACAAAGCAGGTAGCTAGCTCCATTTTTGGCACTTTTGTTTCCCTGATCTGTAATATGCTTTTGAGACGTACCAATAAATAAATAAATGTTGTATGGGGACATTAGTAAATGTAAGCTTTGGTAGATGAATTAAAATATACCAGGTCAGTTTATCTTCAGTGCCACCTTCCCAGGAGACAAACATTTGCTCTCTGCAAACATTCATGCATTCCCTAGCCAAATTCCATCTTAAGCCATACCCCAAGGCTAAGAGATCACCAACTTGTTCTACAGCTTGAAATTTCAAATGGCGATGTTACATCACCACAGCTGCCCCAATTTTCTAAATGCTTACGGGCAAAATTCTGCCCTCATATAGATACATGTAGCCCCCTTGACCGCAATGAAAACAGTGTAGACAGTTTGGCCCCTGTTAGTTTACCCAGTGGTACACACAGCTGAAAGTGCCAGAAGTTTTGAATTCTTAAGCCAATTTCCAATCATGCAGAGTAATAATAGCTCTTGCGTATCCCTTTTCATCTAACACTTTTAAGGGTCAAGCAGGAATGGGGGCACACTGAGCACCCACCAATATCTTCCACCCAACTGGAATAGACATTTCAAAAAAGGACCATTTTAGGATGATATATTTGATGGGGTGAGACCTAGCCAATTCTGAACCCAGAAAAAAACAACAGACTATTAGCTTTAGGCTTAGTATAACCTACGGTGTACATTTAAATATATTTTGACTTTCCACTCTAGCATCCTCTACATGTCTCCCTCTCGGACTTGCAACTTTATGAATAGCTGACTAATTTCTACCCTGTAACATTTCAAGGATAAAGCCTTAAAAAAAAAAAAATCAACTATTTAATTCTCCTTCTGATGTCTTCACTGATCTAAGCTGCTGGGTTTTCCAGATTTCTATTACAGGGCTGTTTGCTCTCATCTCTTTGGTATATAGTCTTCAGGTCCACTGCCTAAAGATGAACGGCAGAAATGATTTATTTCACTTATTTGCAATATACAAAGGTTACTTTACGCTAATTTTAAAAAAGCATTTCCAGCTATGCTGAGCCAACAAGCTCTCCAATTACACCGTTGCATGGACACTTTCAAGAGTGCCCCCAGCGTGAAAGCTGTAAACTCAGCACCTACAGTTTGATGCAGAGGAGTAGCTATCCCTCGGTCCTTGGCTCTCCAGTTCTCCCATCCAGGTCTCATGTAAACTCCCCCTCATAGTTTCCCCCTCCTTCATTGCCTCATAATTTGTTTTATTTGAAGTTGTTTGTTTTGTTCTATTATTAACTCCCAGGTTTAAAGTGCAATCCAGGAAAAATGTACTCAGGGCTCCACACGTGCAGTTCTGTACCTGCTCTTGCTCTGTACTGTAGCGATGCTGCTCTTTTCTCCCTACCTCACACACATTTTATTCTATGTTCTCTCGAATGGCTGCAATTTCCTAACTATGACAATTAACTATTTGAAATATTAAAAAGGGTGGGCATTGCAAATTGGCATTTTCACATATCACCATACAGGGTCTCCTAAAGACCTTTGTCTGGATTATATTAGGGCCATGAGAATAAACAGCACATTATACAACACTTACATGCGTCAGTCTACAAATGTAGATAGATATTACACTGTGAATTGAGTGTGGTGTGGATGGGACGGGGCGGGAGGAGGAGAAGAGATATCTTCAGAGGAATATGGCATTTTTTAAAAAAATGTAATCTTACCCTTCACCCCTGGGACAGCATAGCCCTTTCAAAAATAAAGTAGGAACTGGGAATTATCTTCATCTGTTCCCATTCCACACGTAGGTTACCATCTGCCTAAAACTGTAAGAATAGCTGATCTTTCACAGCTAATCATTAGCATATAACAATCTACTACTATTTTGATCAGAACTGAGGATTGTTAAATTGACTGTACCCGAGCAATAGAAATGAGGGGAAGAGGAGTAGGAGACCTAAACAAACACATTTAGTGGCAATTTTTCAAAAACACTGGGTGGATATCTACACCCAAACATGTGCACAATTGCAGAGTCACATGCTATAAGGCTAAGCTTTAACCTTTTGATAATGTGACCCTAAATCTGCATAAGAAGATCCAAGCTAGAATAAAAATAGGTCCCTTATATAAAAGGTGCAATAAATATCAGTAAGGCCAGGTTTTAAAAAAAGAGCAATGAGAAAATTAAATAAGACATAACTGAAACTAATGCATTTTCTCCAGATAAACCCAAGTTTAATGGCACTGAAATGGGAAGGGTATGTTACGACTAATTCTTGTCTTATTTAGCAGGGCCATAATACAGCTAATTATTCCTCTTCTAACTTGTATCTTTTTGTACGTCTCACTTGATTAATCAGAAATCAAATTTTCTTTCCGAAATGAGATATGGTAGCGTGATTCTAGTTGACAATCTTATCTTAAGAAAATATATTAAATAATAGTTGGCCATATGGTGCCACCAATTTTCAAAGCAGGTTTCATCTCTGATTTCAAATTTAAAGATTCTTAAAAACTGATGACACAGTATGGCCCAGGGTTTTGACTTAAAATTCAAGCCCAACAGGGTTTACAATCTGCTGTACCAAGGTAGCCTCACAAAGTGTCTATTGCAATTCATTCAAGACAGTACCATAACACTCCCTTCCTGTATAAAAGGTGAGTTTTATGACACTTCTCTTCACATTTTCCCCCCAAGTTTGGCTTGATAAATATCAGTACTTTCATTCTTACGCACCTTTGTAAAGTTCTTGATAGCCAAATATTTTTATCATTGAGTTAGGACTGCTAGTAATAACAAAGATATCAAGAGTAAAATTCTGCTTGCCTTACCATGGAACAATGCCAATAAAGTCAATGAATTACACCTGGGTAACTGAGATTAGAATCTGGCCCGATAACTTCAGTGACACTACTGACATGAGGAAAGCAAACAGGATTTGGTCCCAAATACTCCTAGATTTGTGGATGTGAACATCTCTTCACTAGGAACACAATACAAACTAGGATAATTACATTTCCTTTTATATTAGGAATAATATATAGCAATAGTTACCTGATTAAAAGTTTTGAAATTGAACTCTTTGTAGATGGCATCTCTTTCACCCAGCTCAGACCATCCCGAAGCTTTGAGGTCAAGTAAAACTTGGGTCCTTTCCTCTGTTGTCAACCAGTGAGACTGTGAAGACTATAAAGAAAAAAAAATACATTCCAGAACTAGGGTTAATGTTCTCTCATTTCTTTACACAACAACAATAAAATTATGTGCTGAAATTATGATTTATGTATTTCAAAAATATAATCCTTCAGGACAACAGAAGTAGAAAATTTACTGTGCGGTTTTGTTCCACTTTATAATTTAACAGAACACCATCTCTTGCCAGTTAACTGAGCGTTGAAACATAACTATTTTGGTGAATTAACTTTGGTTATGTGCTTGCATATAAGAGTTTTTTACTCTTTTGCTGGGATGAAATATGGACTCAAGAATACCTCTGTCCAGTAGTAGTATTACTTTCATTTATACTAGGTCTATCTGAATTATCCATATACTGTGAAGCTTGAAATATTTGATGACAATCCAATTTTGCCATTTTCCCTCATTTAAATATTAAAGTTAAATGTAATGTACAGTAATTAGTTGAAGTTAAAAGGGGAATATCACCTGAAAAATACTAAGCATGACCAATTTTAAATTAGAAAAGCACTGATTATACCAGAAATCACTGTGTATTATGTATAATTATTGTACCCTGTATTTCCTAAGAAGAAAGTTTAAAAAACAAAAAGCAAGATAGTTACTGAACTCAAATAGTAACATAGTTTCTCTCTGGCACTGAAAAGAAAAACAATCCGGCACTAAGGATATGTGCTACCCCCAATTTGCCCAAGGCATTCCACAGACAGCACTGAGGAGTTCTGTCTAAGGATATGAAGCATGGGCCACTCTCATTCCATTACAAATCCAGAAGTAACTCAATTAAATAGAGTTCCCACTAAAAGGCCCAGACTCAGCAAGGTACTTAAGTATCTGTCTAACTTTAAGCAAATGAGTACTCCCCTATTGAGGTCAATGGAACTACACACACGCTAACTATTTAAGCACATGCTTAAGTATCTTGCTGAATCAGGACCTAAAACTGGTATGAAGTCAGAATCAGATCTTGAGAGTAGAATAAGATCCTAAAAGTTTACTAAATTTCTCCCTGAAAATACAGAACACACTCCCTCCCTCTGACAGAATGTATGAGATATTAAACTTGATTTTAGCTAAAATCCAAGTATTTCATCCAAAGGTGGATTATCCAATTTTCTGTCCCTGGTCAGAGACCCATCCCAAACTTATTCTAAAAACACAATAGGTAGAACAAAAACAACGAGGAGTCCTTGTGGCACCTTAGAGATTTATTTGGGCATAAGTTTTCATGGGCTAAAACCCACTTCATTAATAGGTAGAACAGAAATTCTCAGTTGCCTTTTGTCTTTGCATATATTAATAATCAACCATCCTCATTTTTGAAAACTTACTGGCAATTAGCTGAATGATTATCTACCAAAAACTGCAAAATAGAATCTAAGATGGGAGTTCCACCCAATATATCTGACTTTGTAAACAGTTTTTATTTTGACGGTTTTAAAGTGTGTGGATACTTCATTCTAGAAGTGCCAGACCATGTATAGTCCACCTGCTATGTTCTCACACTTAATTATACACTCATTTGGCAATGTTGATGTGAACTTTTTTTGAAAATATAGTCTGCCGTGTATGTGTATAAGTGCTGTATCTTTGTACACATCTTTATTATAAATATAAAGTTACCACTTCACCACTAGATGGTGCTGCATGTCAAATCAGAAGTTAATTCAATTAATCCTAATTAAGCAGCAGAAAGGTTTTAAGATTGTTCCTTATTACTGAATGATATTGGCACAGAAAGTAATGATAAATACACATGCATCATTTAAAGATGAAATATACTTATTACTGTAACCTACTAATTAACTCCAAGAAGCCAAATATAACACATTCACTAACAGTGAGGATAAAAAGAGCCCTCTGTACAGATGCAGTTAATGCAACTAATTAAACAATTGTTTTCAACTGGATTCACCCATTCTAACAGACAAGTTTTAAATATCCAAAAACTAACATTTCAATTTAGTCTATCTAGTCTTATAAAATATGTGCCTTGCTTTCATATAAAATTAATGTTCCACAAACATATATATTAGTGTTGCTATAGGAACATTTATGGATTAGAATTTCCCTTTAAGGCTGTTTTAAAGCATGCACAGATAGTCTCTGCGCTGAAATTTATCATGTTTATAGTCAGCCAGGAGGTAAAATTGTTTTGTTTTGTTGGAGATTTTTGTGTTCTTACTTTTTAGAACCAGTTAAAACATTTCAGTTGCTTTCTTGAGGCCTTATCCAAACCCCACTGGAGTAACGAAGAGTCCATCCACTCATTTCAGAGCTAATCATCAGATTTTAATAAATAGATTTATTTTGTTTGCCACCGGCCTGGTCCTCAGTGCACAGCAGCTCTTTTGACACTGAAGAAATTTAACTTAGAAATAATGGTCGTAAAAGCCAAGTTCTGCATTCTGGCTGCAAATACACATGCACCTGCCACTGACTTAAAAAGTTTAGTAAAAAGCAGTATACTGAGCACATGTTGATTTATTTTAAGACAACTTTAAGGAGGTGCAAGCTCCAGAAACATGCTCACATGTATGTATCTGTGGTAACACACAATGAAGCACAGTGCAAACCCACTGAAGAGGTGGAAAGGTACAACAAAAACAAACAGAGTATGGACACTGAAATGTAAACATAAGACTTAGCATACAAAACTGACCCATGATTTACTGATTATATCCTGTCATATGATGGGCCCTAAGCTAGTTAAAAAATAACAGCTTTATTTGAAAGTAGTCCAGGAAAGAAAGAGAGGAGTCTGATGCCAAAGCATCCATTATCCTGTATCAAAGATTTGCATGATAAAATATGTTCTGGGGGCAATGGGGGCGGCTATTAGATAATCATATATGCAAAATTATGTATTACTATTACTTGATGTCAGACTCCCTATGCTCTATAGAGACTGAAATGCAGGGGATGTAAATAATCATATATCTTCTGAGAGACGAGGGGGTAGATCCAAGACTGAAACAGATTTAATTTTTTTTATTAAAGCGAACGTTAAAATTATATAATACATAGGTTAAGAAAAGAGTGTCTGTACATCTGGGTATAGTGCTTAAATTATGGGAAAGTACAAAGGTTGGTTTAAAAGTCATACAGTACATATAGTACATAGTCAGCAATAACCCACATTTAGATGAACATTTAAAGATACAGTTTAGTTATTAGCAATACTAGATAAAGAACTAATTCACTACCCCAAGGATAATTCCTAAAGAATTATCATACTTCGGGTACGTCTACACTTACCGGAGGGTCCGGCGGCAGGAAATCGATGTTCTGGGATCGATCCCGGAAGTGCTCGCCGTCGACGCCGGTACTCCAGCTCGCCGAGAGGAGTACGCGGCATCGACGGGGGAGCCTCCCTGCTGCGTCTGGACCCGCGGTAAGTTCGGACTAAGGTACTTCGAATTCAGCTACGTTATTAACGTAGCTGAATTTGCGTACCTTAGTCCGAAGTGGGGGCTTAGTGGGGACCAGGCAGGATCCTGGCTCCTAGGCCCATGCAGCATCCTAACTTTGGTATTCCTTTGACTTAGCAGATTTACTATTCTGCCTAATGCATACTTGGTACATTTTTTTCACGCAGTGGCTTTTAAAGGACTCTGCGTTCAGAGGAATTAGGAGATGGGATGGCTGGTCTGGGTGTGAAGAGCATCTGGGGCAATCAAGGTTTAGATGGATAAACTGGGCACAGCCTGAAAGCTCCATCAACTGGTTTGCCCAGGAAAATCACATTCAGACAACCTGCACAAGATAATTTTCACTTCTTTAGAACCTTCCAGGGCAGGACCGCAAATATGAGTGAATTGCACTTCTGTGCAACCCTAGGAATCAGGTATTACTCCCACTTTAAAAATGGGTAACCTGAAGTTCAGACAGGTCAAGTGACTTGCTCAAGATCAAATTGTGAATTTGTGTCTGAGCTAGAAATAAAACCCAAATCTCCTAATTATAAATCCTGTGCTTCCCAGTATCAAATCCACATAACCCACCATTCACATGTTGACAGATATGAAGAACTAAAGTTGCTTCTCATATTGACAGATCATGAGCTTTCAGCTGGTAAATGGAACATCAAAGTCAGTCCAGCAGGAAAAGTTTTTTGATGGGTAATCAAGCACATAAGGATTAGAATAATAATTTCTTAGTTCCTTCGTTTGGGGGGATTTTAAAAGCGCATTTGAGTCCATTATCTCCCACCATTTTCCCTTGAATATTTAATTAAATTAAGCACCAAGAGTTGGGAGAACTTTTTAAACCAATTGTTATTTGCTTCAGTGTGAATCGCACCTGGCACATTATTGGTGATATAGAAAACAGATTATGCAACATTTTGAGAGGCTGTTGTTCACCCTTCACCCCATTTCTCTGGGGAAGTCATTCTTGCCTGCCTTCAGGGGCTGATACCCATCTGACCCCCAGAAAGCCACCCCCTTACCCACCTAATCTGGCCCTTTAACAGGAAACAAATCAAACAAATTTGCGATGCTGTGACTGGAAAGTATTTTCTTCATGGTAGCTCCATTTTGTGCTCCACAATTAAAATTTTCATTTAAAACAAACCCCAACAAATTAAGCATCAAATCCTTATAAAGGCAAAGAAAAATCACAAAACACGCCTAAGTAGAGGTAGGCGCCCAACTCTGCAGACAGCATGAAACAAAAGCTCTGGCAGAGGTGAACTGCCGTATTTATCTCAGCAGCGTTGGCTCTGAACCCTAATGATGGGGATGTCAGTGCCCAGGCAGTTCGCTCTTTCACAGCACAGAGGGAAGAAGAGGGATGATCCTACTATGAAGCATCCAGCACAAGTAACATCTGGAATGGGGTCCCCAGAGTGCGGGACTTGGGTTAGGGCTGAGCTTAGGAGAGAAGACCAGGACTCCTGCTCCTAGGGGGCTTTCCTCTGTCCACCCCACGCCACCTGGGGGACTCGCCCTGCCCTGCCCCTGGATCGCTGCTCGCTTGCCCCATTATCT